CCCCAAAACCCCAAAACCCCAAAACCCCTCTCTATAGAGAGTAAAAAAATGATCAGAATAAAATTAAATTTGGAAAATATATAATTATAAAGCAAAAGCATAGAGAATCAATGATAATAAATCGAAATGCCAATCCTATCCTGCTCAATAATCTTATGTAAAGTGAACAATCCCAAGCAAGTCTGATGCATTCAAATAACTACTCACAGTCAGCAGTAAATATTGATCATCTAAGAAGTAAGAATGTATCACCTCATTTATCTTACAATAACATGCTAATGTAAAGTCATTCTAACAATAGTAATGGTCATCAAGAAGTACTTACAGCATTCATTCCCATTCACAGTTCGTACAAATAGAGTGTGCAATCTCGAAATAACTTTGAAAATGCCACATAAAATATAAACAATGGTAAGCGTTCATAGTCATTCAAAAACTTTCAACCAAGTTAGCAAATCAAATCTTAAAGTTAATTAGCTGTAAAGAGAGGTTTATAAATGAACAAAAATAGCAACTTAAACTCCTAGTCAGGAAATAGCCAACATCAGAACTAAGTGTATCCAAGCTAGTAGAAATATCAAATTAGGTCATAAAGTTAGACAGGAACTGGCCACTATTAAGCAAATATGCTTTACGCACTTAAAAATAACTAATTATACTCTTAACTTTAAAAATCTTAGAAGAACTATCAACTCTCAGCCAAATAACTCTATAACTCAAATCCTTCAGGTACTGATTACCTTAAAATTGCCACAGATCTTAAAAAGCAAGAAGCCCAGGTCATCAACAACTTGAATGATTTCTATAGACCAAGAAAACTAAAGTAAATGCTAATGAGATAGCAGCAGTCATTGCCATTGCTTGAATAGTAGCAGCAATAGAAACAGCTTTAAGAGCAGTAAAGAATTTCGGAATAACAGTAGAAAGATATTTTACCTGAAGCATCACTGCTATCACCTATTAAAAAAATTGAATAGCTTGAGGGAAATATATTGTCATAAGAGACAACTATAAACATGGAATAGAGTCATTTGAATGAAAATAATGGCAATGAAGCCATTAGAAGCCGAAACGCTACTTTCTATCAATCTACTAATTAGCATTTTAAAAGTAATCAGTAGTAGAGTTATATAGGGGGCCGTGATTCACCTTATCCAAAAATTAAAAGCTTAGATACTTCCCCTGCAAGAAATAAATTCTTTATTACTCCAGAGATTTTCAAGTAAATATAGTTGGAAGAGAAGTTGAAAATAAGTTTGAAGAATTAGCCTAACATGATAAAGATAAAAAAGAGGATGTTTGAAATAAAAAAGAACATGAAGAAAATGCCTTAGATAGATTTTACACTCAGATTAGACGCATATCATACAAATGATAACTGTCTTCATTGTAGGAAAAATGCCCTTGATGAACACATTTATCATAATAAACAGCATTGAATCGAACACTAATACTATGTCTTATGAATTCTTATAATATGAAAGTATTTGATTTCTTAAATTTTAAATAAAAATGCATACTTCCTCATATTTTAATAGGGTACAATGGGGTTTTGGGGTTTTGGGGTTTTGGGG